AACCAGAAACTCCCAATCTTCCCTCCCAGGCCCGCCGCCGATCCAAACCCTTAACGTTGCTCCTGGGCTTAGGTCGGGCACGTCCTCCTACAGGCGGATTTCTGAAGAACATTTAGCAATTGCTAGAAAAGAATCAAACATAGCCAACGAAAGAGCACGAACGAATCCAAGACTACTTTTTTGACTCTTCTGGAGTATTCCTCCTGTAGAGAGACATCCCCGACTTACGCCTAACGTTGTGCTCCCGGGGCTCCCCTGGCGGGCCACATCGAGCTCCACACCTAGCTGCATCGGCGATGCATCGGCGATGCGGCGCGAATGCGGCGCGACCCTCCGACCCCATCTACTCGGACCCCGTCTGGGAGGCCTCGACAGAAACCTCGAACCTCGAACGGGAAACTCCCAGACTTCCCCCCAGGCCCGCCGCCGATCCAAACCCTCACGTTGCTCCTGGGGCCCCCCTGGTCTGCGTCCTGCGCAGGATTTCGAGAGGCGAATCTAGCAGTGGCGACGAGGGCCTCCCAGGAGGCCCCCAAGAAAGGGGGATAAACGAGGGAAGGGAAGGGAGGCGGTATTGATGGGCCTGTTTTCCACCACCACCACCACCATAAGTTGGAGGGGGAGGGTCCTCCTCCGCCTCCTCCTCCTCCTCCTCCTCCTCCACCTCCTCCACCCCGTCTTCCTCGTACGCCTCCATCTCCTCCTCCTCCTCCTCCCCCTTCGGTTTTCCCCCTCCAACCTGTGCTGGTGGTGGATGACAACGGGCCCCTCGGGTATGGGCATCGCTTCCTCCGCCGCCGCCGGCCCAGACCCTCTTACCAGCCTGGAACATATCCCTATCCCTATGCTGGGCACCTCCTCATCACGGTGCCAATCTTAGGTACTCCCCCTATCTTTTGAGGGCGAATCCCTGAGATTGTCATCGCCTTTTGGCGTGTCAATCTTAGGGATAGGGATACGTTCGAGGCTGGTAACCCCCGCGTTGCTCCCGGGCCCCCCCGCGGCGGGCCAGCGGCGGCGCGCCGCCGCCGGCGAGCAGCAGGGCGGCGGGAAGGAGCCGGCGCCAGGGCGCCGCGCGGCGCCGGGGCGCCGCCCCGGCCCGTGCCAGGGCGCCGCGCCGCGCCGGGTGCATGGCTCATGCCATACATGGCGGCGGGGGCTGCCGCATGCTTGATAAGTCCATGCCTCGAGGAGGAGGAGGAGGAGGAGGAGAAGGAAGACTTAATAATAATATTAATAATAATGATTAAAATAATAATACTAATAATACTAATAATAATAATAAATAATAATAATAATAATAATAATAATAATAATATTAATAATAATAATAATACTAATACTAATACGAATTATAATAGTAGTAATAATAATAAAGTAAGAAGAAGGAGGAAGACAACAACAATAATAACCAAACATATAGCAATAAACATAATATGCATGAATAATACGAATACGAATATTACGAATAAGAAGATAAGTACGAATGAGACATGAATAGTACGACGAATAAGAATAACCGTACTATAAGCAGACAACTAAACAGAAGCATAGACATCATAATAACAATACGGATCATGATCATAACAAGCAGACAATGATAAGAGTAAGGCTAACAGTCAGATAGACTACTAGTACATATGAACATCAGCATTCTACGAGTAAGAGTGGCACTCATCAAAGTAATAATAAGGACCATAACAAGCAATAGAAAAAGACACCCTGCGAGACCGCATATCCTGCCTCGTGCAACGCGGCAGCCGCGTGCCCCGCGATGCGCGACGCACGGTGGTCTTCCCCCCCCTCGCGCCGCCCCCTCGGAGAAGGGCAACCGCTCTGGCCCAGACCGCGACGCGCAGAGGACATGCTCGGATATGTTCTGGTCGGTGGTGCGGTGTTGTGCTCTGTTCTGTGGGGGACCTGGGGATCTGGCGGCCGCGGTGTGCAGAATGCGCGAGTCGGCGCGGGGAGGAGGACCACCAGGGATTCTACCGGGAGCCTGGGGATCTGGCGGCCGCGGTATGCAAGGCGGGCGGGCCGGGAGGTCTGCTCTTCAAATCTGACCCCAGCCTATCGGGTGGGGGAGCAGTCAAGATCTACTCCAGCGCGGGGGGGGGGGGGAGAGCGAGGGCCCGCGCCGATCAGCAAAACAATGGAAGAGAAAACGAGCCCAGATGGCAAAGGTGCTCAGCGGGTTCCGGAGACCCTGAACCCCACAATTCTCGGGCGTTGGTAGAACTGGGTTTAGTGGAACCTGGTTTAGTGATCTGTACCGGAGGCGCCCCCCCGTCCCATTTCCACAAACCGAACTGCCGTCACCCGAAAAAAACACCAGCTATGGCAAACCTTGATGGGCCTGTTTTCCACCACCACCACCACCATAAGTTGGAGGGGGAGGGGGTCCTCCTCCTCCTCCTCCGCCTCCTCCTCCCCCTCCTCCTCCTCCTCCTCTTCGTCCTCCTCCTCCTCCTCCTCCTCGTCCTCCACCTCCTCCCCCCTCCAACTTATGGTGGTGGTGGTGGAAAACAGGCCCATCAAACCTGGTCTAGCGATTCTGGCCACTTCGAAGGCTCCAGGGTCCTGCTACTAACCGGGTCCCCTGACGCGGGGTCCTGGCCATGCCCGCAGTTCTGCCATCTCTTGGGGCGCATCTCCTGCTCCCTCCGGCCTTCCTGCCGCCAGCCTCCAGCCGCCCTTGCTTTACTGCCGCCAGCCTCCAGCTTACCGCCGCCAGCCTCCAGCCTCCAGCCTCCGCTTACTGCCGCCAGCCCCAGCCTCCAGCCTCCAGCCTCCAGCCTCCGCTTACTTATCCTGCTCCCTCCAGCTTACTGCCGCCAGCCTCCAGCCTCTGCCGCCCTCGCTTTTACTGCCGCTAGCCTCCCCCGGCGCTCCGCCGCCGCCCCCGGGAGGAAGAGAGGTGCCAGCCCCCTCGCTCGTCGAGGGCCCATGGGCCTTCCTGGAGCGCGCCCTCTGCCCCCGCCCCCCCCCCCTCCTCCCTCCCCCCCTCCTCCCTCCTCCCTCGCTCCATCCTCCCTCCTCCCTCCTCCCTCCCCCTCCTCCCCTCCCCCCTCTCCCCCCTCCCCCCCCCTCCCTCCTCCCTCCTCCCCCCCCTCCCCCCTCCTCCCTCCTCCCTCCTCTCTCCGCCTCCTCCCTCCCCCCTCCTCCTCCCCCCTCCCCCCTCCCCCCTCCTCGCGCTCCGCCGCCGCCCCTGGAGGAAGAGAGGTGCCAGCCCCTTCGCTCCTCGAGGGCCCACGGGCCTTCCTGAGCGCGCCCTCTGCCCTCGGCGGTGGACAAACCTCCCTTTAGTAGACCTCACCCTCCTCCTCCTCCTCCTCCTCTCCTCCTCCTCCTCCTCCTCCTCCTCCTCCTCCTCCTCCTTCTCCTCCTCCTCCTCCCCCTCCCCCTCACCCCTCAACCCTCCCCCTCACCCGGACGACCTGGACCCGCAAAAACGACGGCCGCGACGCCCTCTCGCGCAACGAACACGGCCAGATCCTGAATCGACGTGGCAGGGCAGGAGGTCTGTCCACCCCCGATGCCCCCTCCACCCCCCCACCCCCGGAAGCCCGTGCATGGTCACGCCCTCCGCCTGCCATGTGGACCTCACAAAGGGTGACACACGTACCGCGACTCCCGCGGCGAGGTGACCGTCCAGGAGGTCGTCAGGCACGTGCCCAAGATCGAGGCCCAGGTGCCGCGCTGGCCCGGCCCGGGCTGGCAGCCGCCCTGCCACCTGGCCCATCGCCCTCCGCTCGCAGGGGTCGGAGGATTCTCAAGACGTGTGTTCGTCACTGTCGTTTATTCCTATCTCCATCCTTATCTCGACTCGATCCCTGGGCCTCTCCCGGGGCGCGTTCTGGCCAGAATTTCGAGGCGAGTCCAGCGGTGGCGGCGTGGGCCTCCCGGGAGGCCCCCAAAAGGGGAAAACGGCGAGGGGCCGCGGTATCGGAAATTACCTGTTCCTCCTCCGAGGTTCTAGATGCACTCACGTTCCTGGATTTCGCGCAGTGCGCTGGTTTGGGTGACCCAAAAGTGGATCCAGCTGAAAGGGGGTGGTGCAATAGATTTGGGACAATTGTGCTGCGAACGTCTTGCGCCAGAGAACTGTATTGCAAAGTATTGCAAGCGATGTATTGCATGCGAAAGTCCAGCAATACATCTGCGTCCTGGAATGTACAGGCACGCCCGCAATATGCTGCACCTCAAATCTATGACACCGCCCCCTTTCAGCTGGACCCCCTCTTGGGGTCAACCCGAGCTGGGCCCCGTGGGCTCGGGAGCCCGAAGCGGGGCGCATAATGGAAAGCCCGCGCTGGCGTCGGCGCCGCGACGATTACCAGCCTGGAACATATCCCTATCCCTATGCTGGGCACCTCCTCATCACGATGCCAATCTTGGGGATCCCCTCATCTTTTGAGGGCGCATCCCTAAGATTGTCATCGCCTTTGGGCGTTACAGGAGAGCCAAGAATCGAATCGACAAGTCGGATCGGCGATCGAAATGAATCGAATCGGCGGAAATCGGCAGCCGAGTCGGGAAAAGTCGGATCGGCGGAAATCGGCAGCCTAGTAGGCCTTCGTTAGGAAATCTGAGCCAAAATCGGAATCCGAAATCGGATCGAGTCGGAATCGGAAATCATCGAAATCGAATCGAATCGAATCGAATCAGAGGAATCGAAATTAGCCCTGGGGATAGGGGCACGTTCGAGGCTGGCAGGAAGCGGGGCGCCATCCTGGAGAGCCCGCGCGGGCGCCGGCGCCGCGACGAGGCGGCACGCCTCCGCCGCGCCGGCCCCCCGCGCGCCGCCGCGCGCCCCCGCCGCCGCGGGGACCGTGCTCCCCCTCTTTGCGTGGCGGCGCGCACAAGGGGGTGGAGGGAGGGGGGAGGGCTCCTTAGAAGGAGCTGCTTCTTAGAAGGCGCCGGCCTTACGTCTATACACACGGCGCGCGCCTTCTAAGAAGCAGGGGTGCTTCTAAGAAGCCCTCCCCCCTCCCCCCGCCCCCCTCTGCGCGTGGCTGAGTGCCCCCTCTTTGCGCGCGCTCAGCGGGGCCCGCCTGCGGCCGCCGCCCGGCCCAGCAGGAGGCGGCACGGAGGGCCACGAGGCACGGGCCTCGGCTGCCTGCCTGCCGGGAGTCTCCTGCTCCCCGTCCTCCATCTCCAACTTGTGACTACACCCTGCGAAATGCTTAAGAAATCATGGGTTAAGAAATTCATAGTCTCAGAAATTGAATAAAACCCAGAACTTCTATCAAAATCTTGGGATTTACATTGAAAAGTTAAGAAGAATCGAGACTCTGGCCGAAAGCTTAAGTTTCCTTGAGCATCGCCTGAGGTGTCCCACCAGACCACCCCAACCCCACCCGAAGACCCGAATTTCGGGTGGGGGGGGGTACGGGTTCCACATGTGTTCTCTCGACGTTCCCCGACACCCCCCCCACTGGAAATGGAGGGCAAATTGAGGCCTTCGGGTTGGGCTGGGGTGGTTTGGTGGGTGGTAAACTTGAGGGATGAAAAAAACGGCCCTACCCTGGGTTACAAGCGTCGTGGTCTGTAGACATCCTGGGAACCCTCAAGGCCTAGCACCGCCAGGGCGCGGCACATCACTGACAGGGTTGATCCTGTCAGCCCACAGGAGTTTCAGCGCACAGCGCCTCGTGAACCAGGGTAGGGGCGTTTTTTCTGCCCTTGACCAACAGCTGTTGGCGCTCCGCGCAGGTGTCTTCGGCCTGCGCTGGGCCCCCTCCCTGGCGCGCGGAGCGCCGGGGGCGCCGCCGCAAAGCCCAGCGCGGATGCAAGAAATCGGCGCGGAGCGCCAGAGGTTTCTGTTTATGCCGTGTCCCTTCTTCGACCCAACCTCGTCATCCGGCTTCCTCATCTGCCCCTCCACACCCTGCAGGCGCTTCTCCTGCTGCCCCCCCCCCTCGTCGTCGCACACGCAGCGGTTTCCTCTTCTTCCTCCCCACGCCTCCTCCTCTTCCTCCTCCTCCTCTACCTCCTCGTTCTAGTCCGCCTCATCCATAAATCCTCCTCAAGGGAGGGGTTTACCACTGCTGCCTGTAAATAAACACCCCCTCCCCCAGGCGACCGGCAGCCAACCCAGACCAATGAGACCCACCCCGTCATCCCCTCTCCCAAAAAATACAAAATGCAATTTGCCTCCAATTCTGAAGCATGCGCGGGCGCCCAGCGACCACTTTGCGTCTGTTTTTGACAGGTACGGCGGGGATGCTGGCATATTGCTTGCTGCGCGCAGGCCAACCATCCCTGTCAAAAACAATAGAAACGCACACTTTGCGCAGGCCCCCAGCGACCACTTTGCATCGGTTTTTGACAGAGACGCCTGGCTGCCCGCGCTGCCACGCCTGGGCCTCCAGCTGGTGCACCTGGAACCCGTGGCGCACATGGCATTCGTGGCTCTCTTGGGTAGAATGCAGAGACTCGGGTGTTCCTTATGCGTTGAAAAACGGGTGGGAGTGAGCGAGACGGCCTGCGGGAAGAGAGGGTGCCTTGACCACTGTTCCTTATGAATATACCCCCCCCCCAACCGGCCGGTGGCCAACCCGGAACCATGCCGACTCCATGCGAGCCCGCCCCCCGCCACCCGTGAAAAACGATACAAACCGCACTCCGCCTCCACATTAGGAGCATGCGCAGCCAACCCGATGCACCCCCCCCCACCAACCCTGACAAAAACCAATGCAAAAAACATGTTGGGACAACTTCTTGAGTCATGCTCGTGAGGCCCGCGAGCACTTTGTATTGTTTTTGACAGGGACGGCGGGGGAGTCAGCATATTCCCTGCCGTGCGCAGGGCCACCATCCCTGAGAAAAAAACACATGCACCTCGCGGCTAAATCTGGATCATGCGCCCAAGATCACTGTCATGTGGTTTGTAAAAGGGACGGCGGGGCGGTGGCGCATGGCCTGCTGTGCGCAAGCCCACCAGACACAATGAAGGGCATTGGCTTTCGACAAGGATGGCGGGGGCCGACATGTTTCCCGATGTGTGCTGTCACGTGCGCAGGCGCACCTGACGCACTCTGCACGTGCCCCGAACACGGCGCACCTGGCGCGGCTGGAGTGCACAGCACACCTGGCGCACTCGGAGCACGCGGCGCATCTGGTGCCTGGCACGCTCGGGCCCCAGGGGTGCCTGGCGCGCGTGGCGCTCCTGGCACGCGTGGCCCACCTCGCCCAAGCGTCGCGCACCCGGGGTCGGCTATAGTTCCCAGTAACTGTCCATCCAAAGACGACCGCTGAACATGCTCAGGCTCGGGTGTTACTATGTGTTGGGAGGGCGGGTGGGAATGAGCTAGACGGCTTGCGGGCGGGTGGGTAGCTTGACCCCTCCCCCTACCCCCCTCCCGTGGGCCGGGAGGAGGGGTGGGACCCGGGCAGTTAGAGTCCCAGGATGGGCCAAGATGGCTGCAACATCAGGACCCTCGGGGCCCAAGACGGCCTCCAAGATGGCTCAAGATAGCCGAAGATAAATCGATATAGCCTCCTGCATACCTCCAAGAGGCCCCAAGACAGCTCCAAGACGGTTCCAAGTGCCCTTCGACCCTTCTTAGGATTTCTCCAAGAGCCACAATCCTTCAAACATTTTAAAGAAAATCAATGTTTTTGTTGCCTTGTCGCTTTGTCGCTTCCCATGGGCCCCTGAGAGCTCCCCAAGAAGGGCTGAAGAGCGCCCCAAGACGGCCCCAAGAGCACCCAAGAGACGCCCAACAGCGGCCCGAGGGAGCCCCAAGACGCCATTTTTGAATCTCAGAGGGGGCGCCTGGATTGCCCCATCCCGCCCCCGCTTTATTTCGAGCCATGGTGGCAAAAAGGCCGGGGGGCCAAGACCCCCAAAACGAGCCCCAAGAGTACCTCGAGGAGCCCCACGGAGACCCCAAGAGAGGCCGTAAGATGTCCTTGGTCGTCCTTCGAGAGCCGGTCACAACAACATATCTCCAAAGCCTGGCTTCTCGTCCTCCTTGTCATCGTCCGTTCCTTACCTCCAGCGTTCCTGCCTCCTATCTCCTCCTCCTCCTCCTCCTCCTCCTCCGCCTCCTCCTCCTCCTCCTCCTCCTCGTCCTCCTCTTATTGCTTCTCCTCCTCTTCTTCTTCCCCCTCATCCTCCTCCTCCTTCCCTCTTTCTCTCCTCCTCCTCCAACCCCTTCTCCTCCTCCTCATCCTCATCCTCCTCCTCCGCCTCCTCCTCCTCGTCCTCCTTCTATTGCTTCTCCTCCTCTTCCTCCCCCTCCTTCCCTCTTTTCTCCTCCTCCTCGAATCCCTCCTCATTATCCTCCTCCCTCCTCCTCCCCTCCTCCTCCTCCTCCTCCTCCTCCTCCTCCTACCCCACAAGATGGTCTCAGGAGGTCGAGCATAGCTCAGGATAGCCTCCAACAGACCCCCAAGACCTCAAGATGGCCCAAGATAGCTGAGCATGGCTCAAGGTAGCCTCCGACAACCCCTAGCCGAGCATGGCTCAAGATAGCCTCTAACAGGCCTCAAGAACATCTCCGATCGTGTCGGGATAGGCGAAGCGTCAAGAATTATCATCTGCATCACCCTCCTTCGTCCGAGCCTATCTTCAGTCTCTGATAGCACCATGTGGATCTAACTCCTGCGGTCAGGAACTTTTGCTTGGTGTGCCGCGGCGGCGGCCCGGGCAACATGCTATGCCCTGAGAGCTGATAGCGTGTCGCTCCGCTCCGCGGGGAAGGAGTCTGGAAACATTCGGGACGTTGGACGCCCGGTGGCCAGGACGTGGCTAGCGTGTCGCGCCGAGGCGTGATGGGCCAGAACCAGCGGAGCGACACGCGACGCATCGATTCCCAACCTTACCGCCCTTCCTCTATCATCAATCTCCTGCTCGCCCTCTGCATGCCCATGCTGGGCATGTGGGATGTTAGGGCGGCCTCGAAGCTGACGAGTAATGATAGAAAGCAGGGGAGGGAGGGAGGGAGGGAGGGAGGAAGGGAGACGAGAGGGAGAAGCGAGGGGCATCGAATGTTCAATGTGTGATGACTGTGAAAACGCGGGGAAGCAACGTCCCTGTACGCAACAATATTTCTGGCCCGCCGCCCCCCCGCGGAAGCGGCTTGGGGAGAGCTGCGCTGGCAGGGTCCTGAGGCAATCGGTCAAGACGGGGGCACGGGAGGGGCGAGGGCAAAGCCACTCGAAATCGGCCTCCAGACCCCTCTCGGGTCGGGCGAAAGGGGGGGATAGCAAAGGGGGGGTTTGAGAATCAGCTCACGTAGCTGATTTTCCCGGCGCCTCCCGGCGCGGGAGGCGACTATGTATCGAGGAATGGGCCCTCGGTGGGGCCGAAACCAGCTGCATGCAGCAGATTTCGTAACCCCCCTTTCCCAATCCCCCCCTTTCGCCTGGCCCGACCCTCCTGGACTCGAACCCGACGAGCTCTTCGAGCTGCGCACAACTGTGGCGACGAGGGCGGCCCCTTTCCCTCCCTCGGGAGCGGCCAAGAGGGGGGTGTCCAAGAGGGGGGGGTGCAAATCATGACCGGCGGCATGTGCGCGGCCCAGCGGGGGGGCCAGGGACGTATGAAAACAAGAAGAGGCGCCATGAGATATGGGGAAATATCATGCCCCCCGCCATGATATCCACCACCCCCTAGTCATCACCCCCCTCTGTTTCCGCCCCCGACGACTCCCCCGCGCCGGCTGGGCGGAACCGGGGCTGGGCCCCCTCGGCTCCCCCGGCCGGCTCCAGCCGAAAACGTAAGTACGAGGGCACATCGAAGGAGCCCGCAGAGGACGTATGCGCCCAACCACGTACACGAACACGGCCCCTCGATCCGCGAGACCGTCCGCGTGAGACGAACACTCGCGCAGTGCATGCTCTCGAAGCCAACGCGAAGTCATGTACGGGTACGTCCTTCTTTCGCTCCTGAACAAAAAAAAAAAAGCTCCCACGATTTGCTACCGAATCCCACCCCTGTCTCTCCCCGCGGCGGGGCGGCGAGTCTCTGCGGGGACCCGGCGCCCGAGCTCCCGGCGGGCCAGAGGAGGGCAGCCGCGCCCGCCCGGGGCGCAGCGGCCACGGGGGCACACGGGCGGCAGGGAAAATCGGCCTCCTCCTCCTCCTCCTCCTCCTCCTCCTCCTCCTCCTCTTCCCGCGCCGGGAGGGCGCGGGAAGGGCGGAGGCCTCCTGGGAGGGAGCTGCCCTCTGGGGGGGACGCCTTCGACCCGATCGGGCGCCGATTCGCGGGGGGGGGGCGCTGCCGGGGGGGGCAGGAGAGGAGGGTGCACCCCGCGGGCCCTCTCGAGGCCCCCCTTTTGGGGCCCCTTCAGGGGCCCCAAAAGGGCCCCTTCGCTGCAGCCCTGCTGCCCCCCCCCCTCCTCCCTCCCCCGCCTCCTCCCTCCTCCCCCTCCTCCTCCCTCCTCCCCCTCCTCCCCCTCCCTCCTCCCTCCTCTTCTCCTCCTCCTCCTCCTCTTCTCCTCCCCTGACCCTGGATCCGCCGTGACGCCCAAGCAGAGTCACGCGGCGGAGAGCCCGCCAGGGAGACGAGGGCGCGGCTCCTGGAGCCCCGGGCGGCGAGAACGACGCCCGGGAATCCCGGGGCCCGCTCCTAGGCCTCCCAGATGAAGCAGGAGGGCCTCCTCTTTCTCCTCCTCCTCCTCCTCCTCCTCCTCCTCCTCCTCCTCCTCCCTCCTCCTCCCTCCTCCTCCTCCTCCTCCTCCCCCTCCTCCTCCTCCTCCTCCTCCTCCTCCTCCTCCTCCCCCTCCCCCTCCTCCTCCTCCCCCTCCTCCTCCCGTTCTAGGCCTCCCAGACGAAGGGTCCGAGCGCAGATGGGGTCAGAGGAGCGAGCCGAACCGCCGTGGCATCGCCGAGGCGTCGGCGATGCATCGGGGCCGTCAGCGTAGAGGACCTCGGGCTCCACATCGAGCCGCATCGGCGGTGCATCGGCCCGATCCTCCGACCCCATCCACTCGGACCCCAGGTGAGAGGCCCAGACGGGAGGGGGAGAGGGGAGGGCCTCGAGATTCAGGAGGAGGAGGAGGAGGAGGAGGAGGAGGAGGAGGAGGGGGAGGGGCTCCGGGTCGCGCCCTCGCCTCTACGGCTGGCTCTCCGCCACGTGGCTCTGGTCGAGGCGTTCCCCCCGGGGCAGACCCTGCGAGCGCACAGGATGGGGGGCCACCTGCGAACCCTGCCCCTGCCCCCCACGATTTCTGAGGGGGAGGGGGGGCTCACTTCGTTCGGGAGCTCCCGAGCGAAGTGAACCCCACTCTCCCCCTCAGCAATCGTGGGGGGCAGGGGCAGGGTTCGCAGGTGGCCCCCTACAGGAGGGAAGCGTGGGGAGCGCGCAGCAGGAGGAAGATGCTCTGGAAGAAACTCACCATCGCTCGGACGTCCATTCCCCGTGCATTTTTCGATTTCGTGCGTGCATTTCCCGCTAAATGATCAGAGATGCTCCTCGATGGTCCTCGCCGAGGAAAAATCCACGCGTCCGAGCGAGCGATGCCAAGGAAATGAGGTCGCCATACTTCCCGCCACGTTGGGGGAGAGCCCCTCTCCGGGGAGGGCCCCAGCGCACTGCTAGAGATCCGCCCCAGGGCTCGCGGGAGCCCGAAGTGAGAGGCTAGGAGGTAGAGGAGGAGGAGGAGGAGGAGGAGGAGGAGGAGGAGGAGGAGGAGGAGGAGGAAGAAGAGAGGGAGGAGCAGGAGGAGGAGGAGGAGGAGGAGGCGAACGAGGAGGAGGAGGAGAAGAACGAGGAGGAGGAGGAGAAGAACGAGGAGGAGGAGGAGGAGAAGGAGGAGGCGAAGGAATAAAGAGGGGGAGGGCGAGGGAGGCTCAGAAAACGTCTCGGGAGGCCCGGGGACTTCCGAGCCCTCTGAAGGCCCGCCCCCTCCTCACTTCTTCCCCTTCGCTCGCCACCGACGGTGGAACGCGGCGGGGCTTCTGAAAAGGCCACAAAGAAAAGGAAACACGGCAGAAACATACGCTTTTTGGGCGCTCCGCGCGGATTTCTTGGGTCTGCGCTGGATCCCCCTCCCTCCCTGGCGCGCTCCGCGCGCCAGGGGCGGCGCCAGAGGCCACGCAGACCCCCAGGAGACCCACGAAAACGAAGCCGAATCAAGCATCTGTGGGGGCGCGACGTACGGCACGACAACTTACTGGTCAGCAAACCGTGCGGACTTGTCGGGTCGGCGCGCCAGGGCAGCGCCAGAGGAACCGCCAGGGGTGTGGGGGGGGGGCTTCAACCGAGGAGTGCGCAAAATTTGCGCGAACATTCGAACAAATCTGCGAATGTCGCCGCGACAGTTCCGACGCATCGGTACCGGCTCGGAGAAGGCTGAGCAAGGGGGGGGGTCCAGATACCTCCAGAGTTCTGCGGAAGTCTCCAGAAGGCCTCTGGAGACTTCTGGAGGCCTGCGAAGAGACCTCGGCGTCTGCTAAGGAAAAAGGGAACCGCCGCGGATGAAAAGGGCCCAGGAGACCTGTTCCCTTCATGACGACCCCCCCTCTCGCCACGACCCAACCTCCACCGTGGTCCGGGGCCCCCCTCTTCCCCCAGGCCCGGCGCCAACAGGTGAGAAGCTCACTCCTGCCCCCATCCCCCCATCCCTGCGACGTTTTCTGCGTCGCCGAAGAGGAGACTGAAAGAGGCGGGGGGAGGGATAAGGAGGAGCAGGAAGAGAAGAAGGAGGAGGAGGAAGAGGAGGACGGGGAGAAGAAGCAGGAAGAGGAGGAGGACGAGGAGGAAAAGGAGGAGGAAAAGGAGGAGGAGGATGAGGAGGATGAGGACAAGGAGGAGGAGGAGGAGGAGGAGGAGGAGGAGGAGGAGGAGCGCAGCCCCCTGGCGGGCACCCCCACGGAGGACCAGCGGCCCACGTCCGGCCCCCCCGCCGACCCACCTGCCCCACCCGCTTCCGACCGACCACCCCCTGAGCGGCCTCGACCGCGCACATGACTAACTCGCCGTCGGCCTGCGTCGCGGGAGCCCTGCCCTGCAGCGGCGGCAAGCCTGCACCTACGGGCGCAAAATGTGCATTTCGAGATCACCCACCTTTGTCTTTCACCTCGGAAGACCTAGAGACCTGAACGCCTGAGCGACAGAGATTACGAGCACAGCATCCGACGAGTAACAGCCGACTGAAGTCTGGAGGACAGGGGGGGGAACAATGCCTCGGCGCACCAGATCATTAAGGCGCTCAGTAAAGCGCATCCATCCTACTGCTCCTCTTCGCCCTCCCTGCCCTGCAACTCGTCCAACAACCGCGACGCCTCCCTCTCAAGCAGCCCCCGAGGTGCTGGGCCTGCAGCGCACTCGATCCCGTCACACTCCAGCAAGTGCGCCATCACCGCCTGCCACATCTGAGCTGAGCCACGAGCGGCCCCGGAAGAGACACCGCGAGGGAACGCACACCCCGCCACTGCCCCCTGCCAGCCTCGCGGCACTCGAAGCGCAGCACACCCCCCCGCGATCTCCGAAGGGTCGCGCTCGAGGATCCCCGCATCCCAATGCTCACAGATCGGCAGGTATAGATTCGAGTCTGGGTTCAGCCCCTGCTCGACGCCCACGTCCAACACCCGCTTCAGCGCACAAGTGAAATCAGTCGCGCACAAGGGGCCCTCGCGCCTTGAAGTCCACGTTCTCGCCTCTGTCCTTCTGGCCGCGCAAGATCTTAGAGCCGCCGCCGCGCTCCGCGCCCGCGCGCCTGTCCGATTGACCCAGCATCGTTTAGTCCAAAACGAATTGCGTTTCGTAAGCAACGCGCTCGAGGGGTGGCAACTGCCGAGCGCCTGCGAGGACGAGCTTCGCGAGCACGAGCAGCAGGGCGCGGGCGCGCCAACCGTCCTGCGTCTCCCTGCCCCCGCCCTTGTCCCCGATGGCTGCAGCGCCGACCGCGCCGCTGGCCTCGGGGTCCGATCCGAGCGGCGCTCCCCCCGCGCCCCTCTGCATCTGCATCCACTGCGGCATGTCTACGTCGCATCGCCCCCCTGCCACGCTGCGCTGCAAGGTCGAGACAGCGGCGGCCGAGCGACAACAGGATGGTCGATGAGTGCATGGATGACTGCGGAGACCATCAAGATCGCGCCAATCGCAGCCGAAAAAGGGACAGGCGCAATCTCGCGGCTCGACTCGGGGCGCAAGCGAGCGGGGCCCCCGGGAACCGCAGTAAGTGCTTGGCCGCTGCAGTCTGGGACTTGCAGATGCGTCTGCATAGAGCGCACTCTTTCGTTAGTGCGTGACTAAGGTCGCGGGTCTTATGACCATGACGCTGGTGTTCCATTAGACCTTTCCTAGTCGCGAAGAAACCGCCGCGCGCTCCACTTCCCCCCATCGCGCGCCAGCAAGGCCGGGCACGCCCCGCGCCCTCCGCCAAGCCCCCCGGGCCCGCAGCGCCGCCCCCAGCCCCGGAAAACCCAAACGCACCACGCTGCGCGTGGAACTTTCTTCTCTGGCGATCTCTCATGCGCAGTGGCAGAAACTCGCGCCCCCCGAAAGTCCAGGCGCGAAGATCCCACGCGCGCCCCATCGTCCTCGAGCAGAGGCCACGGGCGCGAGCAGATGCGACAGACAAGCTTTTCAGCGTCGGGGCATAAGGGGGCGGCGTCGGCGGCGCCCGTTCCCACGAGTCTCGCCCACGGCGCAATTGACTCTGTCAGCCCCTTCGCACCGCACGACCACGCATCATCGTCTTCGAACGCCAATTCGCCGCACGACGCACGCAAGACCAGGACGTAACCCCGATGGATTGCGGCGCAGATCGGGCACCAAGAATAGCGACGAACTATGAGCTCTGTTTGTATGTAACGAGCGCCTAGCACCTTCTTCACGATCGGCAAAAGCTCTACCTTTCCTCGCAGACCAACCAGGACGAGCGACATGTCGACCATTTGTTGTTTGTCGTTGAGCATATACTTTTCGAGTCCAAATAGCACGGCGGCCCTGGGATAATCCGATGCATATAGCGCGCCCCCATGCTTGAGGACAGCGAAGGGGCCCAAAACCACCCGTGGACTAATGCACAGATGTTGCAGCAAGAATCCCACGCTCAACCTCTGGCACTGGCCGCAGGGCGGAGGTGATCGCAACGCCCTGGCACCTCTCGGCGTCCAACGCGGGCCGCGCCATCTCCGTCTCACACGCCCCCCCCCCCCATAATATTGCCCTCAAGCTCGGAGGCGCCCGCCCCCTCGACGCAGGGGCGCGCGACCTGCCCCCCGCCAATTGGCGCACGCCCTGCCGGGGCAAGACGTGTCCGACAGCGCGTCGGCTTCCGAGGGCGCGCTGAAAACGTCCTGCACTCTGGTTCCAGTCGCGAGGGGGATGGCGCGCAACTGGTCGTCTGCTAATGTCGGGTCAGACATGTCAACCCTTCCATCTAAACATCTAAATGGAGAAGCGGCAGGGGAGGACGCGCGCACTGCGGCGCCCCATGCCCCACCCGGTGGGACGCGCGCGCCCGCGAAGCCGCGCGCGTTGAAGGGGCCCGGGTCCCACGTCAGTCCTCCGACCCCCGCCACGGCTGCTCGACGCCCTGCCGCGGCTTCGACTTCGACGTCCGACAGGCGACGTCGTC